CTTCACTATCACATATCTTTGAACATTTTTTACTATTTAGGATTTAGGTTGCAAGCCATTAAAGTACCATCAAATCTTATAGAGAAATTGGATTCAAGCTAATTTTTGTACTACATACAACATTATTGTTTGTACTATTATTTTGGCCTTAATCGTTTGTGAGAAAAATCTAAGGCAATGAAAAAGTTTTGTTGTGTTCCTTCATCAATTTCAAAAAGACTTTCAACACTGTCGCTCATCAATTTTTTTGAAAAATATTGCAAGCCAATGGAGTATCCTCAATTCTCCTAGTAGACGTGACCACGTTAAATCATTTTGTTTGGATCAAGATCAAAAATCTTAAACTCAAAAGATCTTGAACAATATTGAATCATTAAATATGGTCCTCTCTCTCTCACTCTATTTGAAGTTTTCATAGATGATATAGAGGAGTGGTTGGACTCATGTGATATTGAAGATGTCAAGCTTGAAAACTTTGTCATCAAAGCTTTCTTGTATGCAGATGATATCATATTACTAGCACATGATGACCTCAATTTACAAAAACACCTAGACACTTTGGCTAGATTTTGTAACTAGAATCAGATGGATGTATATATGAACAAGTCTAAATTCATGGTAGTGGGTACTAGAACCAAGTTATAATTATGTTACAAAGATATACAATTAAAAGAAGTGAAGAGTTTTTAATTTCGGGGCATTGATTTCTTTAATGATAAATAGTTGTGCAGTTTGTGTGTAAAAGAGAAGAGAAGATGATTACAAAGCTCTATAGTCAATATTAAATTGGTGTAGAAGAGCTCACCTAGTGTCTTGGAGTCTTAGATCTTTTTTAATTTGAGTATAGTGTTGCTGGTAGTCTAATATGGGACCCAAGTGTGAGATCTTGGTTGTATGAAGAAGTTTGAAAGCAAATGAAAAGGATGCAAAAGATATTTCTACCAGAAGAATTGGGTGTAGAAAATCAAGCTCCATATGTTATTCTTCTTGCAGAAATAGGTTGTCTACCTCAAGAGGCTGTTCTTCTATACTTGATCATCATTTACGTCACTGTGTGAAATCTCTTGATGTCTCTTGCCTTCTTTTTCAAGCTTTGCGTGCCACATGTTCCAAATGATGGTTAGCGGATGTGATAATTTGGTCTTTGAGGTAAAATGAGGTAGAACGCAATTGAAACTTGCAACACATGGCACTCCGCGAGCGTCTACACGAGGAAATCCTTAACATTATTTGAAGCAAAAGAGGCACCAAAATGCAATTTTATCAACTTCAACTTTGAACCCTATGTTTGTTTTCAATGGAAATGAAAACTTACTTTGAGGTGTCGTGACGTCCTTAAGGCATACTATTGCTCAGCACAGAATTGGATCTCATAGACTTGGAATCGAGGAAGTGCGTTGGTTTAATATAGATAAGAGTAAACGTATTTGTAGGTTATGTGAAGGTGCATATATTGAGGATGAAGAGCATGTATCTTTTACTTGTACTAGGTATGAAGAGATTAGACTTGCTCATAATATAGATAAAAAAATTCTATTCTTTATTCAAGTTTTGATTTAGGTTGTTATACTAGAAATATCATTAGTTTATGATATAGTGCTCTTGGCACTAGCTAGATATTGATCTTTAAGATATTTTCTCTTGTTTGTGATATTTTGTTTGTATTGTGTATTTTAGACTTTTGACTCTTTACATCCCATTTAGTATCTAATGAGTATAGTTGGGCATTTTGTGTGCAAAAAAAGGTAGGAGCTGGTTACAAAGGTCTAAATTTTTTGTTATATTGATGTAGAAGAGTTCATTTAGTATCTTGAATTCTTAGGAAATTGTTATTTAAGAGTTTAGTGTTGCCAGTATGAAACCCAAGTGTTGAATTTTGGTAATGTGACAGAAGAAATATTGAACATAAAGAGTATGTGTTTGTTACATGTACTACTAGGTATGAAGAGATTAAACTAGCTCATGAATTAGATTTGAAGAATTTTTATTCTTCAATACAGCTAGTGATTTTTTATTTAGTTTGTTATGTTAGTAACATCATTAGTCATCTTTTTTTCTTGTCATTAGCGAGGTTAAGATCTTTTTGATCTTCTCTCTAGTCATTGAATGTTGACTTGTGTTTTTCAACCTTTTGACCCTTTTGTGCCCCTCGGGTTTGATCTATTACCATTTAATGTGTTATCTAGCCTTTTGACATTTTGGATCTTCATCTATATAACATACATCATATATCTGTTTACTTTATATTTCAATCTCAATAATAAGATTAAAAGCAAAAAATAGATTCTTAAAAAAAAACTGTTTTTTAAGGCCACTAGGTAAGAAATAAAAAAATAGAGAGCAAAAAACTTTCTTGATTATATAAAGAAAGTAAAAGAGTCATTTTTACTTCCATTAAAAATTTCAATATTTTTATTTAAATGATGAAATAAAAGTAATGCTTTTAAAAAAAATACAACTATTTTTATTTTTATTTTTTGAGATAAATTATTATTTATTTTTATAAAAATGACTGAATTGAATTTGAAAATTTTTTGTTAATTGTTAATTAAATCAGTTTTGTTCAAATCTTCATCAAAACAATACTTTAAAGAGTGTTTCAAAAAAATTGAAACACACTAATATGGATATAATCAAAGCTGAATTATATTCATGACTCTCCTTATTGTGGAGGCTAACAAGGGAAAATCTTAACTCACAGATGTTGTTGTGGGGGAGTTTGATCATTCTATCACTAATTTTAACAATCTCCGTCCAGAAAATATAAAACTTCCAAAGTCATGATTTTTGTCGCTGGTCTCAAAAAACCATAAGTATATCTTGTATCCAAAAATCTTCAGCACAAACTATCATTGAAAATCAGAAAACTGTCAGTTGACACAAACTGCAACAATTTACCAGCTATAGTCTCAAAACGAAAACCTGAAAGCACTCAATCTACAAATTGAAAAACACTGAAACCAATATAAAAAAAAACCCTATGACCTAGAGTCTGAACCGGAACCGGCTCTAATACCAATTGTAGACGCAAAACACAAAAATTATAACGACACACTTAACCAATGCAACAAGACGAGAAACATAAAAATACACATGTATAACGTCGTTCACTCTCATGGCTACTTCCACGGAGGAATACACTTGAGATTTTGCTGCTTGAAGTGAGTGTAATCTTATCATCCTTAGGGTATATATACCCAAGATAGTCAACCACTCTAAGCTATAAATAGCTACATATGAGATTAACCTCAGTTAACTCCTTAATCAGAATTAGCCTCAACACTTATATGATTCAAGTATATTTTGTTTTGGCTACAAGTTAGTTAAAATTAACTCTAGGTTTTTTTCTAGAATTGCATGTAAAGTAATCACAATGCTGATAAAAATTACAAATTTTGATGTCCGAACGTAAATGAATATAATTAGTTAAACTAGTTAGCTAGTGCTATAAAAAGTGATGTAAAAAAAAAGTTTTAAATAATAGTAATAGTTTGTGCTTTGTGATATGACTCTTCAAGAATAAACCACTTATGTATTGTGTTAACTTTGTTGAAAGCTTTTCTCACTATGTAACATAATTAGTAGAACAAGAAAGATCATGTAAACTTACGAAATTTTTTTGTGATATAGTGATTATTGTTTGAATTTGAAAATCTACTTACAAAACTTTTTGTACATTTGAAAGAATTTGTATCTTTCTTGAGGGCAAATAGACAAAATTCTTGGTCAACCACATCAAATGACATGTACAATTCACAATTGTATTCTTCATGATTGATAACAGCCAGCAAACAACAAAAAATTGACTACAAATCTACATCATTGGCATCTAAGTTTGGATGATGTTTTTCACCTTCACTTGAAAAAGAGATGGGGTCCTATGATCTTTGTCTTGCTAATATAATGATGCGAAACATGCGCAGCGCGACCCGCACTTCTGGGGAGATATACAAAACATAGCAAAATGTGTTCTGCTCCTCAGTACAAATGCAAGAATGCAAGTCATTATGACCGACTTCATTTTTAAGCTACTGACGCATATTAGAGCGGTTGGCAAAACTTTATATCGAACTGTGTTCTGATATTGTACCTTGGTGTCTTTCAGTGCAGCATCGGGATTGATGATTTTTTCTGGCATAAATATATTCCTGGCTGGTATCTTCGACTATGCATTTCTTCGTGAGTTTGATTAACGATTGGAGCTGCAAACACTCTTAAATGACGCTCTTCTTGTCAGAGCATACTGGACATTAAGAAATTTAAGAGATTAAAAGACCGTCCAGGCAACAATTTCCTAGGATATCAGGATCTTCATTAATCCAGATCTGTCTCCAATACCACAGGTTTAGGACGTTCGGATGGAGAGACGCTATAAGAAGAAGATATGTCCGTCGCTCGTTGGTGTCAGGATAAACGTTGCCCACATGCTGAAATATCTTAGACTTGATATGGTAGAGAGATAAAGGCAATTTGGGCTGTATCCTGATCTCCTGGAGCTAAAGATACTAGACTTGAAAGAATGACGAGATTGTGAGAAGAAATTTGGACGGGGAGAGATGTTGCTCTCTCCATACCTTTTAGCATGTGGATCATGTGAACACACCGAGATTCCTGCGCTATTTGTCATTCCTCAGTTTGAGTACGGGCGCCTCGGTTAGAACATCTCAACTGGACAGTCCTTCTTGCACGGCTCCTTCTCCAGTTTACTACAATCTATCTTGAAAAATGCTTCTTCTACAATTGCGTGTTGTGCTTTTTTGCACTTAGTTACGGCAAATCTTAAAGGTGATAATCTGACATTATGTACTTCACCAGTGCTCGTCTTGACTTACACGTGTGTTGTGTCATGAAGTGAAGACGGTTGTTTATGACAAATGAACCTCTAGACCTTAACACCGATAAATATTGCGAAAATTTAAGCATAGTACTGAATTCTTCTCAGTGGCTGTCATTGAGGCCGGCCACTGTCAGTTCTCAAGGCTTCAAACAGGTGCAGCTTTATTATCGCAACTTGGCCCCAGATGAGCCTCCCACGTTATGAGTTTTCTTGTATCGTCTCACCACCCTAGAATGTCGCTTCCTTTCCCAACTGTAATATTTGCCAGCCTTTGGAAACTTGCACCGACCTGCCAAACTTCAGCTTTTGATCTATGACCCTTGTCCGGTACAAGTAACATGGCACGAGAAATTGGCTGGCGTCACGGCAACCTCACGTGATAGAAAAAGTTTTGTTCTCTCAGACTAGAGAAGCGCTTTATTGATCTTCACGTGGGAATACGTACGTACCACTTTTGTTTGTCCCTCATCCAAACCTCCATGCCGTATACGGACTGGTGGGCATGTGGCAACCGTCAAAGGCTTGTTGAGACAAGAATGGAATCTTTTACTCAGTGACTGAAAGTTGGATCAGGAAACTCACTACCTCTGTACCGAAGAGAACTCTAGCACTTCACAACATTTGTCAACATCTCTAAAACAATGAAGAGACTTTAACGGAAATCGATATCAATTTGCTGCCATACTTGTATACTTCCATGGCATAGGTACAAAATGTCAATGATGTTAACTTACAATTCACTAGTGCAATATCACAGGAGACTAAGTAAATGGGAAAAATCTCTAGACAGTAGCAAACCTTAAGACGACTCACGCCGCTACAGACATTCTTAGAACGCATTCTTCAACATAACGCTAAAGGTCTTATATGTATCGGAGACAGCCCTTCTTGGACAATCTTCCATTCTAGCACGAACTGTCGCGACGAATTATGTAATCTACGACTATCGAACCTGACCTCGTTCTTCAGGAAATATATACATGATATGCAGTTTCCGAATCCATGGCGTAGGATCTCTCACTGGTTTAAAAATTGTAAATCGGAAAACTGTCTCCAAAGAACGCTGCATTGGAGAAGAGCAGCTTCTGCATATCAAACCCAAAATCCCATCTAAAGGGAGCGACGTGGTTCTTAAAAGGATCGTGACATCTCGATGTCGCCATGTTGAGAGCCAGAACTGTCAGTTCTTACATCTTGTAGGGAACTGTAGAGAACGGTGCTGGAATCCACCGATTCGGAAATCTTCTCATCTGCATCGGGCAGTTCGAACAAAATACTCTCCAAGGAGTCGGAAGTGCCATGGCATCTGTGCCAAAGGGTCTGCAGCTGGTTCCAGACAACCTTCATCTCAGGTCTGTCCTTGGATCTCATCTCCACACACCTGAGAGCCAAATTCCCCACACTCATTATGGACTCTCTCTCAGCTTGATAGTCGCATGACTTGACGAGTACAGGGTCGATCATCCCTTTCCAATCTCCGCTCTTGATTTGGGATGCCGCGAAGGTCACCAAGCTGGCATCCCCTGGACCCCTTTGGAAATCTATGGCCGACTGAGCGGAAATCAGCTCGAGTAAAACAACGCCGAAACTGTACACATCACTCTTTCCGGTCAACTGGAAGCTCGTGTAGTATTCGGGATCTACGTAGCCCATGGTACCCTGAATTGCAACCGTTGCGACATGAGTACTTGCTTCCATGGGAGCCAAGTTCGAAATGCCGAAATCTGCTACTTTAGCATGTAAATCCTCATCCAAGAGAATGTTAGCGGATTTCACATCTCTGTGGTAGATGGGAGGATCGAAAGCCGAGTGAAGGTAATTTAGAGCATCTGCTACCTGAACTGCGATATGAAGGCGCTCCTTCCAGCTTAGCCTGCGAGAGCCCTTCTTGCCCTGCAAATGCTCCTGAAGCGTACCGTTGGAAATATACTCGAAGACCAGCAGAGCGACCTTGTTCTCCATGCAGCATCCCAGCAGCTTCACCAGATATCGATGGTTGACCTGCGACAGTATGCGCACCTCGTTGAGGAAGCGCTGTTTGTCGTCTTCCGATCCCTCTCGTTTGCTTCTTTTGATGGCCACCATGGTTCCATCGTTGAGCTTGCCTGTGTAAACCGTTCCGAACCCGCCAGCTCCGATTTGTGCCCCATCTGCAAAGTTGTCCGTGGCTCTTTTCAGCTCCCGGAGAGGCATTAATTCCGCTGTGTCCCTCTCCAAAAGATTGCTGGTGGCAATCATGTCTGCATCGTGCTGGTGCTTGTCCTTGTACACTCTCCATCGCCAGCAAACCACCAAGCAGCTCGCTTGTGGGACAAGTACGGACGAAGCTATGATGATCAGGAGCAACCACCACGAGAGATCCATACCCTCCTTGACAACGTTCTTCTCAATGATGATGAAAGTTGGAGCTGGTGGTGGAGAGGAGCTCGAGCACGCAGGCAGAGGCCCACCACAGAGTCCTGGATTTCCGGAGAAGAAATCGGGGTTCCATAAACTGCTGTTCTCTGGAATCGCAGGTACTTCTCCTGAAAGATTGTTCCAGGAGACGTCGAGGCTGCTGAGTTTCGGCAGCCGAGTGAGACTCGATGGAATTGGCCCCGTGAGGTTGTTGCTGGAGATATTCAAAACTTTGAGGCTTGGAAAAGTCGCCGGGTCGAATGCGTCCGCCACTATAGATCCCACAATATGGTTGTTGCTGAGATCCAAAACCTCCAGCGTTGGAAGATTTCCCACTCGGAGGAAAGAGTTTGGCAAAGAGATTCCGACCAAGCCGTTCCCTGCTATGCGGAATTCCCTGAGCACAAACATTGCCAGGAAGGCCTCCAAAGTTGCTCTCATGGGATCCGGGTAGTCTTCTGTTTTACTCATGCTGAGCAGATTGTTGCTAATGTCGACCAGCTCCATTCTCAGAGCCAATGATCCCCATCTCCCTACCATGTTCGTTAGATCTCCACTGAATAGGTTGTTTGCCAGTCGCAGCTCCCTCGTGTACGGAAATCTGTCCAGAAAATCGACAATGTTTCCAGTCAGGTGGTTGTGTTGAAGCCATATGAGACGGATCTGAGATGAATTTATTAACATAGGAGGAATGGCTCCACTCAACTGGTTGTGGCTGATGTCCAGAGTATCAAAATTCCATCCAGCAAAGTCACTAGGCTTCACCTCTGGCCATGGTATACTACCTGTTAGTAGATTGTAGGAAAGATTTAGAGACATTACGGAAGAACTTGCCTGGGACTGAAACAAGTCTTGAGGGATGCTTCCTGTGAGTTGGTTATGAGACAGGTCTAGCCAAAAGCTATGATTTTCCTGACGAGAAAGCCCCTTTGGAATTGTGCCTGAAAAGTCATTGAAGGACAGGTCCAGTGATTTGAGGTTAAGCAGATTCACCAGTCCTGACGGCAAGCTACCGACTATTTGGTTCCCCGAGATAGACAGATGCTCCAGATTTTTGGGAGCTGGTGATTGCGGATCCTTGAAATCTGTGAGCGTGTTGTTGTTAAGATTCAGCTCAACCAGATTAATCAAATGTTCCAAAACTGGAATAGAACCATTGAGTAAATTGTTAGATAGATCGAAGCTGACGAGGGTTGTTAAGTTTCCCAAGTGCTCGGGAATGCGGCCTGTAAGTTGATTTTGAGCAAGAGACAGCACTTGCAGCTTGGTCAAGTTGTTCAGCTGAGGGATATCTCCTCTCAGACCGTTTCCAGCTAAAGAGAGATATCGGAGATTCCAGAGCTGACTGATGGTCGATGGAATTATTCCCTCGAAGCTGCTTCCTGAAAGATCAAGATGAGTCAACCCAGTCAAGGTGCCTATGTCCTCATAAATGTCGGCCTTGAAGTTATTCGATGACAGATCCAGTCGCTCAAGACTGCCTAGCGTGCGAAGTGATCCAAAACCATATAGCCTCGTTAGTCCCCATCCTGAAAGATCGATACCCTGGACTCTGAAATCTGCGGTACAAGACACTCCCACCCAATTACACGGGTGTCTATCAGTCGCTTTCCAACTGTACCAAAATCCTCTTGGTTCGAACGGATTGTCATCACTTCCAGTCTGTATACTGACAGCAGCTTTGAATTCCAAAAGAGCCTCAATCTCCGGAGGCGGATCTACGGCCTCTGCCTTGATGCGTGAAAGAACCCATAAGATCAAGGCTACCTTTGATGCTGTGATCCAAAGAGCATTTGAAGATTTGAACGTCATGAGATGTGCACGTTCCTCCGATGTTAAATCCCTTTCCATGAACGACCACTTGCCAGCCCGATATGCATGAGGCTTGAGATAAAGAATCCAAATTTCCTGCATCCTCCGACGGGTTATGCGTTGCTACACATCCTCTGTGGGACTTTCGCACGTAGGCTTCAGGCGTCTGGACATTCGGCGTATAACAAGCGTTGAGCTTCTAACCTCGAAGTCCATGCTCCTGATCTGAAAGATAAACTACCTTGCACTTCCTTGTCGGAACTCCTTAGTATGGCTTCCACATGCATGAGTGAACTTTTAATTGCTTCTCGAGCGCTGAGTACCTTGTCTATTCTCATCTAAGCCCACACTTGCCAACTGGTTTAAAAGTACATGTTCGCTCGACTTGAAACGAGAAAAGAATTCCACGAAAACGTCTGCACTCACTTTGAAGCAAAAGCGGGGTCAGACGTGCCACACTGTACATTCGACTGACTGAATCTGAAACTCCTAAGACCTTCTGCATAATTGATGCTTGCTGTGTCAACTAATAGTTCCATCTGAAGCGTCATGTGCAAGCTCCCTTTTGTCCCCGATATTTTTGTGCCCTTCTAGCCCATACTCTGGTTTCTACACGTCAGTCTGGCGTCTTGTACAAGGCAAAAAGACGACTCTTATTGCACCCACCGCAATAACCGGGAACACACCTCTGTTGGGTTATGAGCTGTGGCATGCTTCACAGGCATAATTTAAGGCATTATGAACTCGAAAGCGGCCAGTGCAGTTCAAAATCAAGATATGCACTGGATCTGATAAACAGTCGTAGCTGTCTGAGTATCAAAGTGTAGATCCAAGACACCCTTCAGCTAGAAGCAGTACCAGACAACTGCCGATGGGCAGGTGCTAGGTGCGCTGGGGTGACACAAATGTCAGGTCCAAACTGAGTACTAGATACAGCTTTTGAAGGACATCACGCGCAGATGTTTCAAAGTGAGTTATAAAGTGAGTTTTCTCTAGAAGTGGGCCCATTCGTTACCTTCCTTATATATCCAGATCCACGAAGTGATGATATGATCCCTGTTCTAACTACATGATCCGATTCCTGAACAACGGTGAGGATGTCGATGAAAGTCGACTGTGAGGAGATTGAAATAATCTAGTACCTGCTTAGTGCCGTTGGTTGCTTGTACCTACTCGTTTCTAGAGTGGGTCCAGATGTGATGAAGGTCTCGAAGGTGCTTGAATAGAGTGGACACCGATAGCTTTTTTCTTTCCTCTTCCAATAACTTTTACCGTGGCAACAAAGTGCATGTCTTTTTCAAGCACAGGCAGGAAGGCGCCGTTTCTTGGTGGACTTGCTGCAGTTTAAATACATCATTAAATGATGGCATAACAAACTTCATCATTAAGTGCGTGCATGGCAGAATCTGAGTCGTACGAGAACTTGTTGCACACCTGTATGTTCAATCTAAAATCTACTTGTGTAGTTAGTCTTTGATATGATGAGTACTGAGATAGATCACACCTGTCGAAAAAATCCAAATATTCATCTACTACCTACTTAATAGCTAAACGCTAGAGAAATTGTTTGAAGAAGTTCTTACGAAATTATATGTGAAACCTTTTCTTTCAGTTTTACAGGTTGACTCAAAAGGATTTTCTTCAGATGAACCTGTTGCCTAAGTAGGCTAAAATACAAACCCTCAAAAACTAGAATTCTATCAAATGCGTCCCTACGAAATTTTTTTGTTTTTCTACCCAAAGAAGATTTCAGCTCTGAAATCATACTATGTTCGTACTGTTGTTAGAGGTTGGGTCTCTTTATCAAATTGCATTCTTCTCAGAGTATTCCTTCTTCTTTTCTCGGTTGTTGCTATGTTTGTGGTGTGTATACAAAGTCTAAGCAGAAGCTAGAGTTGTATAGTGTAAAACTGTCGTTGCACGTATGAACTCAGTATGGGCTTTGGTAAATCTTGTCTGAAGTGAAATCAAGACCCGTTAGGTGTTAGGAACTTTACAAGCATATTCCTATACGCTTGTAAGTGTCCGGACACGTAATAGACTCAACCTAAGATATGGCCGTGAGACTTTATCGAGACTATTGAGAAAACTCAAGTCACGATGTTACTCTATCTGTAAAGTATTTCTTCTGTTAGTCATCTTTATAACTAGTTGTGCATCAGTTTAATCTGAATATGCAATCCTCTGCAGCTGTCTTGGGTCTAAAAAGAGGTGTTGCATTTTTGGCATGTTGGTCCAAATATTTTGAGAGTGCTTTCTGTGTTATAATCTCCTGCTATTACTTATCTACACAACAAACATATCTTATTGGCTCTGAATGTGGTTCATAATTAAGATGTCGCATTTATTAGACAACTTAATCATGAATATTCGCTTAAGAGTGAACTTCCTCATTGCTCCTATCACCATCATCGTCAACACTAAGAGAAGGAAGTAGAGTTATATTGATATAGTGATAGAGATATATTGGCTAGACCTATAGATCAAGGAGTACTTATTCTTCTATATTAAGAAGTATGTCTCTTGAGACAAATATATGTTTGTAATCATAATGTATATGTAAATGGTAAATAGATCAAACCCGTGAGATCTTAGGGGTAAAAAGGTGGAGAAACACATTACAAATCATTCATTCATTATTTCAATTTACCCATTGAAAATATCTATATAAGGAATAGAATAATTATTCTAAATATCTTCCACCTTTGAAATTTGCATTTCATCTTTGAGTGACCTCCTCTTTGAATCTTTAGTAGTATATCTTATCATAGACATATTGTTATATTTGATTGTGGTTATCCCTTATAGATCTTAGTTCTTGAAAATATATAAAACCGTACATAGCTTATTGATCCGCACATATAGAGAGGTGAAAACATGTGATTTTGTAGATATGAAGGTGTGTGATAAAAATCTGTTAGCAAAGTAGGTTGTTTTTCCTATGTTTGACATTTAATCTTGTCTTAAAAAAAATATTAGTTTCTGATATACATTGTGATATATTGAAGTGAAAAAATTTCTGATTTACATGATAAAGTCAAGAATTTCATAAACAAGTTTGATACCTAATGAAGAAGATTTAAGATTTTATTATTTACATTATATATTGAATGTTCATGAATTTAAATTCGAAATTACCTTTTTGGATTTCATTCAATATGTATGCGGAGATTAAAGTAATATAGCAAAAAAAGAAAATTTTTAAAAAAATATGAAAAAAATAGTGAGAAAATGTCATAATTTTGTTATAGATTTATATTTTATTTTCGATTTAATATACATGATTGTGAGCAAGCATAAGCAAAAATGTACCACTTGATATGAGTGAGATACTAGAAGCAATTATGACTAATATAATAGAGTTGAAAAAAGCTATAGTATATAAATAAACAAAGCAAGAACCATTAAAGAAAAGAATTTTGCAATTAAAAATTGACAATATACAAACAAATTTGAGATTTGGATGTTGAAACTTCAGGATTGGAGATTTAATATTAGCCAAAATCAATTTATATTTATACTGCCAAGAAAAATAAAAAATGAATTCAAGAGATTGAAGATCAAACCAATTTTTTTCTTCAAATGAAAGAAGTTAGTAAAGATGAAGGCATACAAGTAAAATAGAATATTGAATGTTTTAAAGATCTGAAATATGAAGATTAATATACATTTGTCTCATTTCCATGTTTCTAATAATATTGTAAGATTGTTCATAAGGTTTTATCTCAAAAGTACAAGTTTTTCATGATAGTCTACATGTTGTCATAATGAGATGCTTCAATTTTATGGAATAAATGCAAGAGTGATTATTCTAAAATCTCCAAGCTATTATTTAATTATAAATTGCAAGAATATAAATTTTGAAATTTTATAAAATATTTATTATTCATGAATAAATTTATCATTTTTGTTTTTCTAGAATTCATCATTTAAGTGATTAGAGCAAAAACATTAGATGTGTTCAAACAAGATTTAAGAAATCAAATATGTAAGGTGATAATTATAAGAAATTTGTCAAATGATGTATGAAACAATTTCAACTACTTCAGCATCTTTGAATGCTTTTTGAATCACACACAATAAACTATCAATTTTGAAGATCCATTTGGTCCATTGCCAATGAAGTTGAAACTTTTTTTATGTAGAAAAATATATACATTGTCATAAAAACCAACATTGAGATTTGAAACAAAGATGCTTTGATAAAAAATTCAAATTTTCAAAAAGGATATGCAAATAATGCAATGGCTCAATTAAGAATGAAAATATGTGAAAAAACACAATGTTATGCATAAAAAAATGAATAATATTGCCAAACTTGACAAGTATTACAAGAAAAATATTGGATAGAGCAACAAGATTTTCATAACAAAATACCAACACAAAAGTAGTTGAAGTAGTTTTAGAAAATAAAGATCATCAGTAAAATTGATTTTTTTGTTGAATTCCACAAAAATATAAAAAATAGCAAAATTGAAAGAGGATAATGATTTAAAACTCATGAAAAAAGCAATACAAAATCTCAATTGATTGTCATAGATAGAATGATGAAAATAAACAGAATGAGAATTTTGATTGATCTTGTGTAAAAAGAGAAAAATTCACTTGAACATTAAACAGAACACTAGATGAAAGATACCTCTAATGTTTATACTCTTGCTTATATACATCTTACTAAAAAGTACAAGGAGATAAAATTTTATACCCATCTATTTCATTTCTAGTGGATTGATGGCATGACGTGTATTACTAACATGCAGATAAATTGCTTAAATATTGTTTTTAACTAACATATTTAATAGTTAACTAAGAATCAGACATATCTCTGATGTGTCACGGTCAACTAACACATTTATTGTCTATCTATTAAATACACGAATAGCTGACGTGACAATAATAAATAGTTCACCATAATGTAATGAAATCTTAATTTTAATTAATCTCTAATTTAATTCTAACTAATTCTAGATTTTTACAAATCTCCCTTGTTAGACATACTTTCAAATATCTAACCATTAGAGATGCATTAATTAGACTTCCCGATGATTCTCAAGTTGATTCCTATTATGGCTATGTTTTTCATTGAATCAAATACTATATTTTGAAATATTGGTGAATCTAAATTCGTTTCAGGATTATGTTTTTTTAACATAAATTTCTCAAGATTAGTCATCAAGGTGGGTAGAGGATATGATGTTGGTTGATTGATGAATTGTTTGGTTGTGGTACATGCTTTTGCAATAGTGACACATAAAATACATGATATATTTTATATGTGACGGAAATTTTTAACTTGTTTGATATTTTATCAACACTTTGCAATATCACAAAAGTACCAATAAATCTAGGATTAAACTTTGGTATTCGTACAATAAAAAAATTTATTGTAGATAATCAAACATGATTCTCTACCTAAAAAATCAATTCTTTGTAATGAGCTTTTGCATGTTCTTCTTGTTGATTTTAAGCCATTAACAACTTCTACTTTGCTTGATATAATCTTATGAAATATAGTGCACAAAATATTTGACTACGACTATCTTGGCCAAAGATTCATCTCTTTCAAAAGCTTACTCGAACTTG